ATATAAAATATTTAAAATATATTGTTAATTATGTAATATTTGAATATAATTCTTAACAATTTTTGTATATATTTAAACAATAATTACCTTATGTGTGTAATAATAATATCATTTACTTTCTATAATAATTTTATAAAATAACTCTAAAACACGTTTGCTTTTACTAAAAAATATATTAATTATTAATAGTTTATAATAATTTATAAATACAGTCTTAAAATCTTGTTTTACAGATTTTTGTAAATGTAAAATATATTTACAAATATATTTCATATAAAATTTTTTACATTTAACTCTTCAGATATTTTTGTTATCTCTTTAGAGCTTTTACTGCATCTTACAGTTATAAGAAAATATCATTTTCTAAGGTTAAAAAAATGTGGTATTGAAAGGGTCAAGAGAAAAGGGCGCGTTGAATGGCCTTGCATGTATGCTTTGCATCCATCGCGGTGCATTTCCGATACGATCAAGAAAGCTCGAGGAGGCGCGATATGAATTCGTATGAATACATCTGCGGTGAAATCGCGAGCGAACGGCATGAATGAATGGGGAATTCCGCTCCATAGAAATTCAACGCGCGTGCACGCGCTCGCGTTATGCGCGTTCGATCTCGAACGTAGATCGAGAGGCACGACATAAGGTAGACGGCATGAGCGGTAAGCGGAAGTGAACGCAAACGCGTAAACGGACTCGAATAAAAAAAGTAGCAAAATGAGAAGTAATATTGCTAAAAGAGTTTATATCAGAGTAAGAAATTATAGACATGTAGGGGAAGGTGGGGTAAGACGGACCCCCTAAGCAAAAATGGTTATATTTTTTATATTAATGACAAAAAATAACTGAAATTTAGCATGAAGAAACTGTAGAATGTTTATCATAAGATTATAATGTTAAATTTTCAAAATTTGCAAAAGTTTGAATTATTATTAAGATTTTTAAAAACTTAATTTTAGTCCGTTTTACCCCATAGGTGGGGTAAAACGGACCATCCCATGGGGTAAAATGGACCAAGCCGAGATAATATGGACCAAGAAATAATTTAACTGATCAACTCAAAATCAAAACTATATATTATTTATTAAACTTTTTTTTATTTATTTTTTATTTTTTATTTATTAAATATTTTTGAATAAGAATAGAAATTAATTTAACATTAATCATTTTATCTTCTTGCAGCTTCTCGTTTACCAATGTTTTCTTCTAACATGACTTTTAAGGCTTCGTATAAATTTTCCTCATTTTATTTACATCGATTTGATTTTCTTTTATAATTTCTAGGCATCTTTAGCAACTAGAAAAATGGTTAAAAAACAAAAAATTGTTAAAAAAAAAATGAGATGTAAAATATTTCTCAAATCAGAGCAAATATATAAGCAGAAAACTATAAGTAGAAAGTATAAGTAGAAAATATAAGTAGAACAAATATATAAATCGGTCCGTTTTACCCCATTTTAAATTGGTCCCTTTTATCCCACAATAACATTAATATTATCTTATATTTATTTACCTGTATCAAAATTATTTTTTAAATGTAACTGATGAAATATTACTTCCAAATAACCAGAAATATGGAACTTGTAGAAAAATGAAAAAATATTAAGTTTTGCAATCTTAGTCACTTAAAATGTAATACTAAGAAATTAGATCACGAGATCTATTTTATTTAATTAATGAAAATAAATATTCACTACGATATTTCCTAATAGAAAAAAGATTGATACTTAACATACAATTGTTAGATAATTATATAAATAAGATAATTATATAGATTAGATAATTTTGAATAAATATAATAAAATAAATAATTTAATAGTTTTTTATGGCTTTAATTAATTTGTCTTTGAAAAGGTTAAGTGCTTACGTTGTTATATGCGTTATTATAGTAAAAGCTGAATTTTTTGAAACCGCGTGTTACAGATCATTCCAACAATACTAGGCAAGATCCGAACATAGCGAGCACTTCAAAACAGCACGGCTGACATGTTCAGGAGACTTTATAATG